AGAATAACACAACGCAAAAATGAACAAAATGCATACGGTGAAACATGGGCAGAAAATTACCATACCAATTTCTATATTGCATTTTTTGAACATTCCATAACATTTCCTTGTCTAATGCTCGAAGTTTACTAACCTGAACAAACAGAGACGGATAGAGCCATGGACCAACCCTCAACACTGACCTCGACGGATAACCTCGAACGGGCAACCATGGAGAAGGTCGTCAGAGCTCAGACTGAATAGCTCGCGCCAGAAACTCGAACACGAACGGACCAAAAATGAGTCACGGCTGAGACTGGTTTTTTCAGGTGGTCATTTGGACGTGAGGGGCTGAACGGAAAGCAGCGATGGTCGGATTTACTGGAGGATCGCCGGACTATTTTTTTCTTTGTTACGACGAAGGAGAAGAAGTCGTCGTGGGCTGGTAGTTCGGATGGTCACTGNATTGCTTAACTAGTCCTATGTAAGCAAAATAACTACAAAAAATAAGACTAATATTTAAACAACACTATATCTTTTTTAATTATTTTTTCAAGATTTAAAATAGCTACAAAATATTAATAAAACTATTTTTTTGTAATTTTCGTTTATATAAAGATAAAATATAAAGTAATATTTTTTTAATTTTTTCAACAATTAAAATGACTACAAAACATTAATAGAACTATATTTTTGTAATTTTCGAAATTATATAAAGTACAAAAATAAAGTGCAATTTTTGTATTTTTCAAGTTTATGAGAGATACATAAACTAAAATTTATATATATATTTTTTGTAATTTTCTTTTTGCAACAAAATAAAGTAAAAATAGTTAAAATAACTATACTAGACCCAATTTCACATATTCACGCTAAAAATGTGAAAATTCTCGGGGAGGGTCAAAAATCCGGTGTCTACAATACCTAGTAAAAACCTGGACAAGACTTGGGTAAAAAGTGACATAGGAGAAAAGTCATCTAATAGAGTTGGAGTAGGATTCTACTTGTAGGAGGAGAATCCTACACGTTTTTGGAGGAGGATTTTCGGCCAAAATAACTCTATTAAATGAGGACTAATTTTACCTAATAACTTACCTTTTAGAGTTGTATTGTTCTTGCTCACCCAAAAGCAAAATCGCCCAAGGTTTTACTAGGCAAATAGCAGAAGACTGCAGGCCTAGATTCTTGTTGTTTGGAAGATTTATGCAACTATTTCAAGAGGTTAGTGCTTCTAATCTTGTTATTATTGTGTTGTCTAGTTTACATGTATCTAATGTCTGGCTTGCATGCTTGCTTCCACTGCGCATGTTCTAACAATTGGTATCAGACGTCATCTTACATCTAACTAGATAATGTAATACAACATGCATAGAGTAATATTAAAATGTGTTGTTCATTGATACATGTCTGGGATGATATTCTATGTTAAAAACGTGATTGTATTTATTAGTATCTTAATTCTGTAATTCTGAAATTATGAATTAATATACACATGTATAAATAGTGGTGTTATATTTAAATAAAAATCTGTTTAAATTACGTTTTTGCTTAATAGCAATTTTTTTATAAAAACGTGACTGTGTTTTTGAATGTTATTAGTTCTGTAATTATGGATTAATATACATATGCATAAATAGTGAACCAATACCTTTAATCTGTTTTAGTTGCGTTCTGTCCATAATCAAAGTGTTATATTAATAAAAACTTGACTATTTTGTATGATATTAGTTCTATAATTTTGGATTAATATACAGAATTATGAACAGTGGCGTTTTTGACTAGTGAAAAATATATTGTTTTTACAATTCTGTCTAAACACGTTTTTATTAAATAAAAATGAATTATTTTGAGTTCAGAAATCATATGTTAACATATATCAGTATATTATGTAATTTGAACAAGTCAAAATAATTAAAAACCCTTAAGACGCCAAAAATAGAATTTTAGAAATTTTAGAATTCTGAAATTCTGTCGAACTCCGATTGACCTCAAATTTGGTAGGTTCATCGGAAACGGCCCAGTGAGCAATAGTCATTGCTTTTTGGGCATTCGGGGTAGTTTAGATGGGTTTTTGGCCTTTTTCTATTTCTGGAAATTTTTTTAATAAAAAAAATTAAAAGAAATCTATGATGTTAGGGTTCAATTCCCATTGTTTCCAATCATGTTTTATAGTAATATAATGAATTTATATGTTGACATAGGTCTTCTTCCACATCGGATAAATTCATTATAGATAATTATTGTAATTTTTGCCTCTAGTTATTTGATTACTTGTATTAACTCTCCAATTGAGTTACATGTTGATTGAATGAATTTAGAGTTTATAAAAGTGATATTTACCTATATTAAATTAACAGTTTACTCTCCATCTGAGTTGGTCCTGTTTAAATTTATTGTGTTAATATCTTACATCACTCATATATTTTGCATGAATAGTTAAGTTTCCCTAACGAATCTAACTGTTCAATGAGCATGGTTATATGTGTAATGTGCTGTTTTGAATTTAATTATTCTAAATACATAACTAATAATTTATTTAATGTGAATATCTCTCAAATTAACCATGTCTTCATTCAACTCACTTACCTCAATTTTGAACCAAAACAAGTCAGAAGGACCAAATTATGTTGACTGGAAAAGGAACCTTGATATTGTCCTAACTGCTGAAGATTACAAATTTGTAATCACTGAGAAATGCCCAGAAAAACCTGAAAATGCTACTGATGATCAGGTTAAGGCCTATGACAAATGGGTTAAGGCTGAAGAGATGGCGTGATGTTACATTCTTGCCTCTATGGCGAATGTTTTGCAACATCAGCATTCAGTCTATGAGGTCTGCTTATGATATGCTCGAAAGTCTCAAAGAGATGTTCGGTGAACAAAATCGTGCAGCTAAGCAGACAGCCACGAAAGCCCTTTTGAACACCAAGATGGCTAAAGGATCATCGGTCATGGACCATGTTCTGAAGATAATGAGTCTTCTGAATGAACTAGATGTCCTTGGAGCTGTGATTGATAAGGAGTCTCAAGTTGAGATGGTCCTGTAGACTCTGCCTTACAGTTTTGAACAGTTTCACTTGAACTATAATATGAACAAAATGGATTTGTCACTAGCGAAACTGTTGAATGAGCTGCAAGTGGCAGAATCTATTATCAAACAAAAAGCTCCAATTGTGGCACTCAATGTTGAGAAAGCTTCGGTTTCTAAGTTGAAAGGCAATAAGAAAAAGAAGAAGGCTCAAAAGGTTCTGGCACCTGGTGGTGCGACTAGTGTGAAAAAGTCCAAAGGCAAGTGCTATCACTGCAAGCAACCTGGGCATCACAAGAAGCAATGCACTGCCTATCTGGCAAAGTTGAATAAGCAAGTTAATTCAAATTTAAATATCATTGAAACTTGTTTAGCGACTGTTTCTACCCTGCTTTGCTGTGTAGATTCGGGAGCCACTAATCACATCTGCACTACTTTGCAGGGATTTCAGGAAATGCGGCGGCTAAGTTAGAATGAAGTTTGCATTTTTCAAGCCAATGGCAAGCCAGCACCAACTTTAGCTTTAGGAGATATTAGAGTTTCGTTTAGTAGTGATAGAGTTTTAGTTTTAAAAGATGTTATCTATGTACCTTCTATTAGAAGGAATTTGATTTCAGTTTCGAAAATAATGGATGCTGATTATAATATTTATTTTACTAATAATTCTGCTGTTATTAAGCTTAATAAACGTTTTATCTACATTGTTGCTAGAGTACATGACCTTTTTATTCTTAATATATCTCCTCATGTGCTACAACAACCAAAAGAACTAAATAACATTAATCTACCATATAAAAGAAAACGTATTTCTAAATTGAGTCAAACTTATTTGTGGCACTTACGTCTAGGTCATATAAATCTAAATAGAATATCGAGATTGGTCTCTGATGGACCTTTGAGTTCATTGAAAGTGGAGTCACTACCAACATGCGAATCCTGTTTAGAACGCAAAATGACCAAGAGACATTTCCCCTCAAAAGGAAATAGAGCCAGTGATAAGCTAAAATTAGATCACTCTGATTTGTGTGGCCCTATGAATATACAAGCAAGAGGTGGTTTTGAGTGTTTTGTGACTTTCACAGATGATTACTCAAAATATGGATATATTTATCTGTTACACTGTAAGTCTGAATGCTTTGAGAAATTCAAAGAATTTAAGATGAAAACGGAGACATGATAAATATATCAAAACATTGCGATCTCATCATGGTGGTGAATACCTTTTTGCGGAATTCATAAAATACTTATCAAATAATGGAATTACATCTCAATTATCTGCCCCAGGAACACCACAACAAAATGGTGTGGCAGAAAGAAGAAATAGGACCCTTATGGAAATGGTTAGATCAATGTTAAGTTATTCCGATTTGCCTTCTTCCTGTTGGGGATATGCTTTACAAAAAGCAAACTACATTCTCAATTTAGTTCCTTCAAAGTCAGTACCTTTGACTCCAGTAGAATTGTGGATTGGGCGCAAGCCAAGTTTACGGCATATTCGGGTTTGGGGTTGTCCAGCACATGTGCTGAAAGGGAAAGCGGATAAATTGGAATCAAGGATAGAAATATGTATTTTTATTGGATATCCAAAAGGAACTAAAGGCGGTTTGTTTTATTGTCCCAAAGAAAAGAAGGTAATTGTTACGACAAATGCCAGATTTTTAGAAGAGGATTATCTAACGAATCATATTCCTAGAAGTAAACTAGTTTTACAGGATTAAATAATGGAATAACTAAAGACTCATCTCTATAACGTATCCTGGAAGCTAGTATTGACATACCACTGCATTATCGTAGTGAGAGAAATGTCAATAGGCAGCAGATTGTACAAGAGCAATTGCCTGACATCTCACTACCCCAAAGTAGTGGGAGTAATGTTGAGCAACCTCAGATTTTTGAACAACCTGAAATTGTTATGCAGCATTCACTCCAGGAAGAAGTTAATGATATCCCAGCACCGCAAGGTATGGAGGATAACATTGAGGCTTTCGTTCTAGAAAATGATGTTGTGATTCAACATTAAAATCAACTTCCACCTGCAATAACTAGTTTTAGTGGGAGAATTATTAGAAAACCTCTCCGGTTTACGCTCTTGGGAGAATCTTATGATAGAATCTCTGAAGAGCCTAATACAGAACCTATTAATTACGACGAAGCATTACATGATACAGATGCTAATAAATGGGTTGATGCTATGAAATGTAAAATGGAGTCCATGTACTCCAATCAAGTCTGCGATCTTGTAGAACCACCTACTGGAGTCAAACCCATAGGTTGTAGATGGATCTATAAGAAAAAGAGAGGAGTGGATGAAAAAGTGCAAATTTTTAAAGCTAGGCTTGTTGCAAAAGGGTTTACTCAAAAAGAAGGGATCGATTATGAGGAAACTTTTTCGCCAGTAGCCATGCTTAAATCCATTAGGATTCTCTTATTCATTGTTGCTCATTACGATTATGAGATATGGCAAATGGATGTCAAGACCACTTTTCTAAATGGAAGTCTTGATGAGTGCATCTACACGGCACAACTAGTTGGTTTCATAAAAAGTGGCAATGAGCACATGTTGTGCAAATTAAAGAAATTCATTTATGGATTAAAACAAACTTCTAGGGCATGGAACACTTGTTTTGATGCATCGATTAAAACATTCGGTTTTGATCAATGTGAAAATGAGTCTTGTGTCTATAAGAAGTGGAATGGAGATAAAGTTACATTTTTTGTTTTGTACGTAGATGATATTTTGCTCATAGGAAATAATGTGAGCATATTGAATTCAGTAAAGGAATAGTTGTCCTCACGTTTCGATATGAAAGACTTGAGACAGGCAACACATATCCTTGGGATCAAGCTTATGCGAGATCGCAAGCAAAGGATATTAGGCTTGTCCCAAGCACTTTATATTGATACTATTCTTAACCAGGTTTAGCACGCAAGATTCCAAGAAAGGGTTTCTCCCTTTTAGACACGAATCTCTCTGTCAAAAGATCAGTCCCCAAAAACGACTGATGAGATAGAAAAGATGAAGGCGGCCCCTTATGCTTCTGCTGTAGGGAGTCTTATGTATGATATGCTATGTACTAGACCTAACATCTGCTTTGTTGTTGGCATGGTTAGTAGATTTCAGTCTAACCCTGGTCGAGAATACTGGACTGATGTTAAGCATATAATCAAGTACTTGAAGAGGACTGGGGATTATATGTTGGTGTATCACTCAGGTGATCTTGCACCCATTGGCTATACTGATTCAGATTTCCAGTCAGATAGAGACTCTAGAAAATCTACCTTATGATATGTTTTTACCTTAGGAGGTGGAGCCATAAGTTGGAGGAGCATCAAGCAATCACGTATTGCTGATTCCACCATGGAAGCCGAATATGTGGCTACATCTGAGGCAGCTAAAGAGGTTGTTTGGCTGAGGAACTTTCTGAAAGAGCTTAATGTGGTTCCTTCGGTTCAAGCACCAATTGTACTTTATTGTGACAATGGTGGTGCAGTTGCAAACTCGAAGGAACCAAGAAGCCATAATAGGAGTAAGCATATTGAGCGTAAATATCACTTAATTCAGGACATAACTCAGAGAGGTGATGCAAGAGTGTTGAAGATTGCGTCAGAGGACAATTTGGCAGACCCGTTTACAAAGAGCTTGACACAGAAGATTTTTGACAAACATGTAGAAGAAATAGGTGTTAGAGTAGTAGACGCATGGTTATGAGTCTAAGTGGGAGATTGTTGGGATACACTATTAACCATGCGGTTTAGACATAATATTATATTTTATTCTTTATGGAATAATTGTTTATTTAATTTATTCAATTCAATAAAGTACTATTTCAAATAGATCATTTGTTACATGTGTGTCTCTTTAATTATGTGGTAGACAATTTAGTATATGGAGTCTTAGTTCATGCACACAAGATTAAATTGTTGGTTCTCATAATTAATAAACTACGTTCACAATCAATGATATTGTTGGACAAGATACATTGATGATTGTAGCACAAGATTATAGTATAATTTGTCTTGATTATGAGAGTAGTTTTACTCCAACTTCTTATGCTAGTATACTCAGTATATATTGAACGGACCAAGTGGAGAAAAGATATTTTTGTACTGAATATATAAAATATTTTCTCTAATTCATTAAATGAGCTTATACTCCTAATCTTGATATAATTATTATGATCAATGTAATTTGTTTATTGTTTTGATTTATCAAAAGGTACGACTCTATTTAGAGTTAGTGTATGCCTAATAGATTGGACAATAACGAATAGCATTTGTGAATAATAATTAGTTGATAGAATCCATGACTTGGTTTTGAGTTTGATGATACCCCTTTATGTAAGCTTATAAGTTTTCATGTGAAAACTCGACCGACGGATTTTGTATCCGTCACATGAAATGTTTTAAGCGGAATTGTAAAGGATTTAATTAGTTGATTAAATTAAATTTTCAGTGATTTAATTTAATTAACTGGTATTTGAGATCTTAACATGGGGAGTTAAAATAAGTGTTATTGAATTTTTGAAATTCATATTGAGAAGTTCAATTGCAGTTTTTTAGTGGAATAAATTACAATTTATTATAGTAAGAATTAATTCATGCTAATTTCGAATTAATATTATAATTGGTAGTCTCTTATTATTTCTATGGTCCCTGTTATACCTAGTAAAAACCTGGACAAGACTTGGGAGAAAAGTCATCTATTAGAGTTGGAGTAGGATTCTACTTGTAGAAAGAGAATCCTACACGTTCTTTGAGGAGGATTTTCGGCCAAAATAACTCTATTAAAGGAAGATTAATTTTACCTAATAACTCACCTTTTAGAGTTGTATTGTTCTTGCCCACCCAAAAGCAAAATCGTCCAAGGTTTTACTAGGCAAATAACAGAAGACTGCAGCCCTGGATTCTCTTGCTGTTTGGGAGATTTGTGCAACTATTTCAAGAGGTTAGTGCTTCTAATCTCGTTATTATTGTGTTGTCTAGTTTACATGTATTTGATGCCTAGCTTGTATGCTTGCT